TGCCCGAATGTATGAGATGAACTATGCTTTTGAGAGTTCTTTGAAACTGTAAAGCCCAAGACAAATGTTAGGTATTGTTATCATGGTGATCACACCCACGAATCACATCCTTTTCTCTGCTCCTTAGCACTTTCTGCCTAGATGGCTCACAGACCCTTGTCTAAATTATCACTTTGCACAGACTTCCTTGCTCCCACTCAGAGTGCATTTTGACATTAAACTAAACCCCTCAGCACTTGGATAAGATCTGGAATATAAAGCAGTTTGAAAAACAGAATCAACTGTCTTGCATTTTAGTTCCAGCCTTAAATGATAACCATATTCTGAAAACAAAGATAGCCGACTCATTTCAGATACCATTTTCTTAGCTGATGGCAATATGTTTGTCATAAATTTATGCTGGTTCCTTACATAGGTAGAATTTGTTTATTATATGAGGAGCAAAAGTATAAAACATGTAACAGAAGAAATACTATAATATGAATGCCCAAAACAAATATTTAATACAAAATCTCATCTTCCTCCTGAAAAGTCCCAGGAGACTTTACAAATAACATTGCAATCACTTCATCCACCTTGAAGAAGGACTTTGTCTAGTGTGAAATGCAGTAGTTCTCCTGCATCTCACAATCATCTGACTGACTGTTTAGGGCAAGAGGCTAAAAATACATACCTTAAAGGCTTTGGAAGATTGGAATAAGAAAGAATGTAATTATTCATGGATGTAGAATATAGAATGAATAGAACAGGCTGAAGCTGACACGTCCAGGCGTATGAGAAGTGCTATGAGATCGCTGAAGACTGGGGGAGCAGGACCTCTGTTTAATCCTCACCTGGGAGAAGACAAGCACACTGTACTTTCCCATGGTACCACTCTGACATTTGGGGTCACTCCTTCCTCCAAATGAAAGAAAAAAGTCACTTGCATAAATGCAATTTCAGTAGCACCTTGACAGTCCCTGGATGTCATCCAACCGAATGTCTACTCAATGCAGTTAAGTCACCTTGTTAGACATCTTGGAGCATGTCTAAAGATGTCTTTGTGATGAGGTCCATTTCTCCAGGGGCAACAGCTGGTGTGAGGGAATAGAGACCCTCTGGGCGGGAGGGGCAGTGGAGTCTATAAACATGGCTTCTTAGATCAATCCAGGTTTATTCGTAGCTCTTCATTTTGGAAGCTGAGTTACTTAACTTTTTGGAGACTTAGTTTCCTTGTCTATAAAATGGGGATGACTGTACCCTCCTCACATAGTTTGTGTATGGATTCAGTGAAACAGGGCTGTTTTAAAGTACCTCTGCAATTCTAGCCCTCATTAACAATACTAAGTTCTATTTTTTTTAGGACTTTGAAAAATAATGCATGATCACTGACACTACATTCCTCTCCAGATTTTGCACTTCAGTAAGGAGAATTAAAGTGAATTCATTTATTAATTGCCTTCACTAATGTTTAGTTATCCAGAGGGTGTCTATCACCAAATATTAGTTTAAAAATTATATATGTCCATCTATATCTACCTGTCTGTCTGTCTCCTGGCTTTTTAGTGACAGAAAATTTGTGAGCCTCATTTTTTAAACCATATTTTCCTAATGTCTAAAATATCAACATAATTGCTTGTCTTCTGAAGAAATCTTCTCCTCTACATGTAACTGTCAAATTTTTAAGTCTTTCACTTTGAGGGATAATTTCCCTCAAAATCACACTCCCTTCTATATGCTGTTCTACAGGATAAGAATTCCCAGGGATTACTTTTGGAACATACATGCACAGATGAATCTTAATGAACATGTTAGACTTCCTCTAGAAAGATACCTCTATATATGGTGATAGCCTTCAGATAACATTTATAATATGGGTAGCATTGTTATATAATTGACATCTGGAGAACAAGGTCACTACAATCCCCATTCTTGTCTTTGATGAGGCGGTTATAAGACCACATCCAAAGAAATCATGCAGGGCCTCATGGGCCATTATAAAGCCTTGGCTTTTTCTCTGAGGGAAATGGGAAGCCATTGGTGAGAACTGATCTGACTTAGGTGTGAAAATAGGGCTGTGGTTGCCATATTTGAATAGACTGTAGTAGAGTAAAGGTGGAACTGAGGAGAGTGGTTGGTAATCTACTGCAAGGATCCTGCAAAAGATGGTAGTGATATGGACCAGTAGGGTAGCAGGGGAGGTGGTGACATGTCTGGGTTTGGGTCACATTTTGAAAGCCCCAGTCAAAAGGCGATCCTGATAGGCTAGATGTGGAGTGAAAGAGGAGAACAGTCAATGGTAACTATGAGGGTTTGGCCTGAGCAAGTAGATGAATGGAGTTACCATCAACTGAGATAGGGGAGAGTGTTGGAGTAGCTTGTCTAAGTGGCAGATGAGGGGTTTAGTCCCATACATGTCAAACATGAGCTGTCTATTACACATCCAAGTGGAGATGGCAACCAAGCTATTAGACATACAAGTCTGGACTTCAGGAGAGAGGTCTGTACTGATGATAGAAGACCCTTCACAGGTGCCCCTTAATACTTGGAAGAGGCTTAGAGCAATATCAGGCTCCTAGTCATAAAATAAGCAATGGTCGTAATTAATATAGTTCCTTGTCCTCCTTTGACCATGTCATTCAAATTGTTCAAAATAGCTGTGTGTTCAAAATACTGCCTAGTGTGTGTAGTTACACTGTGAGATAGAAATTAAAGACCTCCACAAAGTAATCGTCTCTTACTGTTCGGGTTTATCATTCCTTTGCCCCCATGCTGCACTTTGATGGTCAATTCCCCCATTTATCAAGGGCAGTTTGAGGGTACTGTGGGGAGGAAATTAAATTTCAGAATAAAAGCTAAAAAACACTATGTGTTCATACAATCGATGTAATTCTGTAAAATGCCCTTTGAATACAAAATATTTAGCAATAGGAGAAGTCATATAGTATGATGGTTAAGATAGTAGATCCTAGCCTTGAAATACACATTATAGCCTATATTCCAGCACATCACCTTAAATAACTATCTAAACTCTCAAGTCCCAGTTTCCTCATCTGTAAGACTGAGACCAGACAGGATTATGGAGAATATGAGCTCAGCTAATAGAAAGCACTTAGCACAGTGCCAGCCAGTGTAGTTCTTATCATTTTTAGCAATTATGATAATGATGAAGAGAAGCAAATTTATTTTTTGTTTTCAGTTAGAACTAAGACTAAATATTTTCCTATGGCTTTTCATTTACTACTGACTCTCCATCAAATACATGTCTTCATATATCACTTAAAATTTAGAAAAGTTAGTCTAAAGGTATTAGGCCAAATGATGGAAAAAAGGCACTGGGAGCAGAAATAAGAGACTGATCCCATCTGTCATGGACCCTTCAGGCCCCTTCTTGATGCCCCACCTCCCCAGGGCCTTGCCTATGTGGGTATTAACAAACTTGAGTGAATTGACTCAAGCGGAAAAATACTAAACTTATCTCTTTCCCTTATGTTATTTTAATTGTGCACATTTTGTTTTTAAGCATGGTCCTTTGAGGAAAACAGAACATGTTTACTATAGAAAAACACATATTCTTTTAGCCTCGTAATTTTGGAAGCAAAAGATGGTCTCCATGGTAAGAAGATGGAAAAGGAGTATTAATAGAAGGCATGGAACTAATGCACAGTTTATAGTATAAAGGAAAGATATGTTAGCCTCTCTGCCTAAAACAGCATCGTGAACTGTAAGTTATGCTAAACCGGTGGACAGAATATGAAGGAGGCAACCACAGTGAGATTGCTCAGAGTGGAAGTCAGTAGTCAACTCTGGGGAACACCCAGGACAGCAGAAACCTCTTGCACTCAAGACACATAGAAGCTGGATTTATCCTCAAATGGTTTGGAAGAAAGACTTAGAAAATACCTCTTAGAAAATACCTTTAAATAGTCTTAGAAGCAGATTTATAGACAAGTAATAGTGCTTTAATCCTTGCATCTTGGAATTGCCAAAATAATAGAATATCAGAGTGGATACCAGCCTAAGAAGACAGTGATTCCCTGATATTCCCGCTCTTCCCCAGGCCAGTTTTGAATCCCAAACAATCATTTCCTTTGTCTAGGTCCTTAACTCGCTTTACACAATGTGTAAGGGGTTGTATTTTTCCCTCACATTTTTTCTGTATAGTCCTCTGATAGAATTTTTTTTCTTTCTTATTTCTCTATGTGTTTAAATTTCTACCATGATATTTTTGGGGTTAGCTTAACACATCCCTTTTTACTTGTTATAACCTAAATTTCTTGAGGTAGCCTACTGTTGCTCCAGACTATACTCCCCTGTACTTATCCTACCCACATATCCCTCCTTTCCCAGGCAGTTACACAGTCTACATCATAAAGCAGTGTTACTCTTAGTATGATCTCTACTGAAATGAAAAGAGATCCATAGATGTTACCATAAAATAATAAATTCTATTTTAAAAAGAGGCACACCAGAACATAAATATCTGTAGGAGTATTATCCCTTTTTAAGAAGTTGCAGTGATATTAACACAGGCTTTAGAATTAGCTTCAGAACCACTTTACCGTCTTCACAAGAAAATCACTCTCTCATCTTACCTTAGCTTTATTTTTCACCCAGATCAGTATAACTCACCTAATTCACCAGATCTGATGCCAAATGTCCCTTGAGGGTATCCATAGTTCATGGCAGTCCACCGGGATCTTCAAAAGAACATGAAACATATCCTGAAAACTGTCTGAGGAGAATTATAAAAGTGTTTTTGAGTAATGACAAGATAATTAAAATGTCTATAATTCCCAAATACTTTAGAAGGGAAAACTCCCTTTTGGATGGGTAAATTGTCTTATTTCTGGTAACAAATTGAACATACTATTTTAGAGTCACATCATAAGAGCCAATTCAAAACTTTTGTTACTTTCCATAAACTATGTTCCAGTACATAGTGTACTTAAAGCTTTTAGTCTGTATATGTGGAAAATAACCTTTTGCTAATGACAACATTCCTGTCTTTTTGTCTCTAGGACTATACTTGATAAGAAGGAATTGCTAGAGTTTGCTCAGCTTGGCTGTTACTTGGAATATGATCTCTTTGGTACTGAGCTCCTTCATTACCAATTCAACCCAGATATTGACATGCCCGATGATAATAAAAGAATTAGAAGGTAAACATGATGAAATCTCTTATACTGCTCCCTTTTACCAGCCCTTTTTTATTTTAATATGTGGGTGGATATTAGCAAAGATTCAGAAAACAGTAAACAGGCAAGAACCAGAGACTTGCAGAGAAAAATGTATCAGTGATGTCTCAGGGAGAAAATCTCTATATATTATTTCAAGAGGAAAATGAGTCATCCTAAGTAGGCAAAAGCTTAGCAGGGCCTTAGAAGTTCAGTGCAGATGGGCAGCTAACAAGAAACTCAGATAATACTTGACCCCTGTCAAGGCAATGGCAGAACAAAAGACATTTTCCTCTTTTTATTCCCAATGAAAAAAGTGGTTTCTTTCTTAGGTTGACCACACTGAAGTGGTAACCTCCTACAATGAAGTTTCAAAACATTCTATTAAATATATGCACTACATAAGGAAATGCAACTTAAATGCTATAATATCTAAAGGCCAAACATCATATAAAATACAACCTCTCAAAATTGTCTAATACATGGTGAAAGCAAACAATTGTACAAGTCATTCTCTGCAAGGGGAAAATTTCAGGAGTCAAGGATGGATGGCTACCTGGTTTGTCTTGGTTACATGGTGATAGACACACTGAATGTGCGAAGTTAGGGAGTCTAGAAGGAGAAATAGATCTGGGATTGACAAGGATGCCTTTGGGAATATCTAAGTGCTGCAATCCAGTGGGGCCCTTGGGTTCAGGAGTGAAGCCCAGGGCAGAGATTTGCACTGAGATATAAATCTAGACACTTTTGGTTTGTGTGTGATAGCTGGGAGCCTGGGAATGAGTGAGTTCACTCACAGAAGAAAATGAGGACAGAACCCTGGGAAACACCAGTATTGAAGGGGGAGGGAGCTCAGGAGCAGTCACTCAAGGACAGGTAGAGAAGTTTTCCAAGTGAGAAGCATATCAGGGACATATATTATGGAAGTCGGTGGAGAAGGATGCCGAAAGAAGAAGGGCGTGAATGCTTGGAATAGGAGGCCAGCATCAAGTGGGATGAGGACCAGAAAGTGTCTGTCGGATTTTACAGTCAGGAGATGCTCACTTCATGATCGGGAAGCACGGTCCCCATAGAAAACGGCCCTTGGAGCTCGGGACTGACTCAGAAGCGAGTGTTCTCTGGAATTTAAAATAAGGTGATGTTGTAGGTCCTCCTCAGCCTCCACAATCTCAAAAACATGATTTCCTGATGAATGCCTTCAAAGCGTTTTACAATCCAGCTTGGAAACAGGAAGTTGCTCCCAGGAGCTGCTTCCTTTCTTTAAGCCCTTTTGTGGCAGTGAGGTGCATCTTTTGCACTCCTATGCCTCCCATGAGGCTCTCAGATCTTCTGGAATAAAAGAGGGGGAATCTTCAGAAGAGACCTAAGAAGAAGATATGGGGAAGCATGACCTGACCAACAGCTCCTACACTATCCCTTTCGTGGCTCCTTTTGGCTATTAATTCAAGAACAAGAACTTAACTATGATCAGCTTTCACTGTGCAAATGTAAACACTCAAGATGTATGGAAATGCATGCAGAATTATACACGATGTATATGTGCACATTTATGTGTATCTATCTTTACGTGCATGCATGTATCCTTAATCTTCCCTAAATTAAAATCATGCATTATGTCACTTGACTCAAGCACAGATCACAGTAATTACTGAATGACTTTCTGGCGTGTGTCAAGGGCATGCCCAGAACCCCCTTGTCCTCCACCTCCTGGGCGTTTGCTTCTCATCCTTCATCGGCAGTCCTGGGCTGGGCCTTGGGAGTCTGAAAGCTCTGAAGCACCAGAACACAGAAGCACGCTTCTGCCTACCTCTGGTTTTCAGCACCAGAAATTCTAGGTCTAACACCTGTTTCCAGTCTTATGCTCCATTTCTCAAATCTTATTATATCTCTGCCTTTTCACACTTTGTAGTCTCTCTCTAATATTTGTTTGCAAAACACTAACTCATTTGTATTTCTATAATTACTATGATTTTTTTGTCTTCTCATCTGTAGTGGCTCCTTCATTCTGGTGGGATCTCTGGAACAGCAGTGGCACGGCACAGAGATGAGCCCTTACTTCAGGAGGGACCAGGCAGTTTTCTTGAGAGTCAGGAAATAATTTTTTGAGAGCCATAGAATTATCTTGCTTATGAGATAACTAGTCTCCAGATTCTTGACTTAAGTTCTAAGAGTTCCCATTTTCATGAGTATATTCTCCATTACATTCTCTCCTTACTACATCACAATTCAATAACTTTGTGTTGCAGAGTATGATGCGAGGTTTCCCACAGGAATTTGTTATCCATGAGACATGTGGAGGAATAGGATTAGCATTTTTTTCTCAGGCAAGGAAAAGAGACAAAAACTTTGGGAAATGCTCAGGAAATGTAAGGGGGAGAGGACACTAAAATGCCCTATAACGTGATACCGTTTTTCAGCTGTGGAACAAGGTTTACCACGTAGTTTCAGCCCAGTGCGTGCATTCTGGCAAATCTTTCTCCTTCTTCATAAATGATCCTGTAACTCTCCTAGGGAATTCCTAAAAAGAGAGTTTGTCCCCAAAGTAACTTCGGATCAGAACTTTTGGACATTATACCAATTTTAAAGAGACAACCTTGGCACAAATTGCATTCCATGTACCTGTAGGACACGCATGGGGTACATGCAACATGAATGCAACTCTGTAGGCAGAATACCCAGGTTGGCCCTTCTTCTCTGGCAGTTGTATTCCTTTGACCTGAGAACACAAGATCTAACCTTCAATTATCATTTATTTTAACAGGTATGTTTTCAGAGAGCAGGGCTTTGTGCTGGAGTTGTTTGTGTAGTGCCCCACATTTTGCTGACTGTAGTAGTCATTAAATACAACTCATACCACAAAATGCTATTGAAACCAAAAAGATACCTTTCAAATAATTAGCCTTGGCGGAAGGTGCAGTCTATCTGTCTAGACCCATTTGGGAACCTGGAGACTGGTGAGACTATGGAAGATGCCAGAGAAGAGGCAATGTCTCCACGTTGCATCCCCTGCCTTGGAGAACCACGGAAGCCCTGATGGACACCACCTGGGGCCCAGACGTGTACAGATGGTGGCTGTCAGGGTGACTCACACTACAGATTTGTATTTCACAAAGCAAAGAGGATTAGATGTTTAGATAATAGTCCATGAAGCCTTTCTTTAATCAACTGACTACGTATTTAAAGGAACAGCTCATAAGTATAGCAAAAATAGAAGGAAGACAGAGTAAATTTCATGGTTTAATTTGATCCAATGATCCAAGACTGCAATTAAGTCAAAGTTCTCACAGACTCCAAAGGACAAATGTCCAAATGGAGAGGCACCTTTGCTGACCTTTTTAAACCAGCTACCTAGCTTATCATATGCCCTTCAGTTTCAAACCTGATGTTACTCTCAGAATGTCTTACTTGTACAAAGATTCCTTTTGTTTCCTTATTTTAACCAGTCATTGATTTTTGTTTGCTAGAAAAAGGAGAGAGAGAATGAGATCTGAAAAGTGGGCCCACTAAGAAAAGTACCTTAGAGTGGAGAGCTGGACACAAATCAAGAGTGAAGTTATTTAGTGAAATGTTAGAGTGGCCATTCATTTAAACTGGCACATCCTATTAGGAGCTATCATAAATATCACAGGCTAGAAATTTCCGTGCACATGGAATAAGAATCATGTCCCTACTCAGATTCAATAATATCTTTATCATCACCATGTAATGTTTATTAAGGGTCTCCAAGTACACATGCCACATGGAGGGCAGTATCTTTACGACAAGCACAATAGGTTTTTGAGTGAAATGTTTAAAGCACCAGGAAAGTTTTAAATGAGACAAATGCCACATAATGAGCCAAATGCCATCACATTTTTCATAGGGTACGTCTTCTGGTGGATGAGGGCTATGAAGATCGAATCCTGATGGCACATGACATACATACGAAGCATCGGCTGATGAAATACGGAGGTCACGGCTATTCTCATATTCTCACCAACATTGTTCCTAAAATGCTGCTTAGAGGTATAACTGAGAATGCACTGGATAAGATACTAATAAAGAACCCTAAGCAATGGCTAACTTTCAAATAGGATAATTGTTCATGAATTCATACCTTGAGTATAAAATATGCAGAGAACATTCAGTGATTTCAAACCCACTGGGACATACTAATCAGAGCTATGTAGAACTAATGGCAGATCATATCCTTTTTATGAGGATTAGAAGTTTTGCTTTCTCAGAGACCAATACATCTGCAATTTTTGAGTTACTGAGCTTAACTGAGCCCTATTGTCTTGCCTTAACAAAATACACATACAGGAGTACCTATTTCCAAACAATGACTTATATTCTATATCCCCTTAGTGGAGTTTTGTTTTCTTAATCTATCAGCTGTACTACTTGAGAAAATTTAAAGTGTTTCTAGTTAAATTACCCCCTTCTGGAGCAATCTAATGTTTCTTGTAATATTGATGATCCTACTAATTATCCTGCTGTTCTTTAATTAATGCTTAATGAATAATATAGCACTTTAAAATAGCTTCTGCAGCAAAGGAAGTTACATTCTGTGACTTCTTTCTCAAAGGATACTGTAATACAGCCACCAATTCACAGTGATAAAGATGTTATAGAAGGTTAATTATATGCTGTCCACCTATCTCTATATACTTAAAATAAATCACTTTTATTGCCTGTGGCTTCCAAGTATCCATTTTTGCTGTAAATTGTGTTGTGTTTTGAAGAATTTATATAAAGGGGCATGAACACATAACATAGAACTATAAAAATTAAACCATAAAAGGCAAAATATATTATATAATATAGTTTAATGAATCATTACATTTATAATAACAAAGGCCACAATTTAATTAGTTAATAATATATAATTCAAAAAAAAGAGAAATGTTTTCCTTACATATATATTCCCTTTATTTCCTTTACCTGTTATTTGCTTTTGCCTTGGGCCTAAACGGAGAAAAATAATGCTTATTTCTCTGAAGAAAAGGTCAAATCTATTAAAAATGACAGTCTGATTCTAAAGCCTACACTTTAAGAAGTACCAAGCCCTGATATTTTGTGTTAATAAAGCCTTTTTTTAAAACTCTTATTTAAAGCTCTTAGTTGACATGCAGTGCTCTTTATAAATTAATCTTTTGGTTGAATCCTCACTGTTGTTATTCAAAATAAACTTCTCCAAACCCTTGCTGCCAGTTCATCTTTGATGAATATATACTGTTGAATAGAAATAAAATCCATTGCAACTTCTTTATGAGTTATCTTACATATTAGAGGCCAAATAGAATTAGTCATTATTCTTGATGTATGGAGCTAAGTGGGTTTAATCATATAAATCACAACAGTTACTCAGATCAAGGCATTTTAACCAAGCAAACAGAACCTTCAGATAGGAATGCCATATATAAGCCTTTTGGAAAGTTGAAGTTTGCTAAATAAAAGATATTTCTGTGGATCAAAGATGATCAAGCTTTCTGTGTATTAGAACAGAAGGTACCCACGAGCAATGAGCAAGGAGAACAAACTAATTCCTGTAAATGAAAAAATGCAAATGTCCTTCACCAGTAAAGCAAGCAGATTTTTAAATCTGTTTTTGAAATCTACTTGTCAAAGAGTCTTCAAGGCAACTAAGAGGGGGGTAGATTTTTCGTTTGTAATAGTGAAAGTTGTCTGACAGGATATATCAACATGCAGTTTTAATCTTTTTCTTAAAGAGATGGCTTTGGCAGTGTATTTTCACCAGAGAGAAAGGATTTGCATTATTCTCAAAATCTACTTTATCATCAGCTTCAATCAACCTGAGGAAAAAAAAAATTCATACTTCAGGCGGATCTAATTCAGGAGCACTGCAAAGGAGAGCCGCTTTGTGTCTGCAGTTCTAATATTAGTCTGCCACAGAATGCAGTGAAAATATTGATTGGCGTGTGGTCATAAAGAGCCATAGGTTAATTTACAGACATGCAATGTATAGGGAATTTCCATTTAATAAAAGTTAATGTTCGGGATAACTCTTAAAAGAGAAGTCATTTAAATTATTTTGCTACTCCATATATTTTTTGTCATCCAAAATATATTTCAACCCAAAATAAGTCAAGTAATTTATGCGTGTCTCTGTGTGTGTGTGTGTGTGTGTGTACAGACATACAACTTTTTAATTTAAAATTTTGAGGCTATTCAGCCACTGCACCCCTGGTCTGAAGCCATATATATATTATATTTCATCTAACATATATATATGCACATATATATGTAGCAGGTATTTATATAAAATATATAAACATTTTGTTGTCGTATTGGTTACATGTGAAATAGTTCATTTTGAAATAACCTCAGGCCACGTTTTGTAGTAACTATTTGAAGGCCTTACTTAGGGTCCCCTTGGTGACACATGCAGTAGCTCAAATTAAACCTCTGTGCATTGGATTATGAATAATGTTTTGTTCCAAAGAAGGCAAAAGCCTTAGTCTGATTTAACACCAAAGAATAAATTTCTCTGTCTTTCCAAGTAAATCTAAACGCATTCTATTGACAAAATGGACACATAGGGGATTTTCTAAATACCATACATAATTACACATTTTCACACTTAGAGGGTAATCCTATGATACAATTTCAATCTCTATTTTTAAAGACTACCACCAGAAGAGGGAGAAAGTTAAGTTCATAAGAAAAAGAAAATGTGAAAATGATCATAGGCTTGGGAATTCCCTCAAATCCAGAAAATTCCAGGTTAAGGCTTGAAGTTGAATCATTCCCAGGTCTAGCTCTAAAGTTCACAAGAGTACAAGGCAAATAATTTCTTTGGGGACAAGCAGCATCATTTCAATTAGACCTTCCCCTGCAGGGTAAAATCACTCTCCCCCCACTCTGTGAATGGACTCCAAGTACCATAATAAGCGTGAAAACTCACAAGAACCAAAGCTGACATATGGATAAAAGCAGCAAGATCACAGGACACCAAAGTATCATATATATTGGAGAAATAATTCAGTGTCTTAGATTTTTCTATAAAAATGTGTGATCTATCCAAGACTTCATTCACATGGACACTAACGACAAGGACTATTTGCTTTGGCGGTAGTGAATGACACATCTGCTTATCTTGCTTTTAATATTTTTTTTACATAATGTTTCTGAGAATACAGATGTGAGTCAGGTAGCATTTGAATTCCCCCACATATACACAGCTGAGGTGCCCTTCAGATGGCAGCCCACGGGATCCTTGATTCACCAATGTTGGCCATATGAATCCAGTGTCCAAACTGGGATGATACGCTTCGTTTCTGCACTATCAGTCAGCATAAATAATAAATCCAGAAAATGTGCTGTATTTGTTGTTGTTTCCTCCATGGGCTTTCCCGCCATCTAATTTGATGTAGACTTCGTCTCCTGGCTCCAAGTGAAGAACGACACTGTTGCTGGCATAGTCGTAATTCTGATCCGCATCTTGGGCAATGGCACTGGCTCGCACCTATGTGAAACAGACAAGAATTAGATAGAAGTTGAAAAAGAGAATTCTCAAGTTGTCTTTTTTGCCATTCCCGCAGCACCATGAGCTGACCTGCCACCACAGCACAGAATTCAGCACAGGAAAGCCCACTTGGCCTTGGAGCTTTATGAGGATATCTTTGAAACAGTTTCAGCTGGGTTACTGGAAAGGAGGGATGGAAAGCAGAAAACAGTGCTTTCCTGAGGGTCGTTCCAGCAATCTCCTCTTCCTGTATGTTGTAAACAATGCATACCGATCTGTTGCCTTCCTAAATCAGCACTTTTTCTAATTCCTTGAATATGTCCAGTCACTTCTTAAAATGGAAATAACAGTAACTTCTTGCATTTTAATTTAAGCCAAATTGCAATATTCTGTTTGCAAGTGGAAGTTCAATCCAAACTTCAGTTGATTCTCACAATTAGAGGAAAACAGAGATTCACCATAGGTAAAGACTCAGAGAAATACCTCTACCATAACTCTACTATATGAAAGAAAAAAAGGAAGAAAGCTTTTCAGTTTGGGGCTTTTGAAATCCAATTCAAGTAAAGCCCTTTTTACCACAAGTTTGAGAAGTGATCTTTGGTTATATTACCCAAGTTTTCAGAGTTAATTTTTCTATGTGTGCCTTTTTACCACTTAACTGGGACGTGGGTACTTATATTATTTTATTTCAAAATATCTACAAGTTATAGAAGGAACTAAACTTCCATAATTTGAGGTCTCAATTTTTTGGATTTTTTCACGATGGATTGAATACCCTTTTACATTTAGCTGATTCTACATGTATGGTTTTCTTTGAGGATGGAGGTTGCTTATAATCCGGGCATGTTGAGCCTATATCTCATTAGTGAGTTGACAGGCATTTGCAAACAGTCAAATTGCTTAGCATATCAAATAATATGGACATTCTGTCACATCCTCAACTCAAATTAAGCTTCATATTCATTTAGCTATATTTTGCTTCTGCCTTGGAAGAAAATTGTCAGTAGGCAGACTTGTATTTGATTTATTTCAGTAAAACATATTCTACTTTGTGGCTTGTTTCTATTCCACTCTAATGATATATCCTTGAATAACATAGCAAGTGACTTAGTGGTTTTGTAAACCTGTACTATGTAATAAATTATATTGAATTTTATCACTTGACAAAATGAGGGATATGAGACATAAGTCAAGAATTTCCATGTATTCCTTTCAAAATTTAAATGAGAGGTTTTCAAATTTAATTTTCATGTGGTGTGTTTTCACATTAATGCTGAAATGTTAAAAAAGGAGAAGGCTCTTTGACACTGCTGAACTTGTAAAGTAATTTGAGTAGTGTTTTAAAAATTTCTTTCTGGATATCATATAGCAAAAGGAGAAAAGGGCTTAAAAGATTTAGAATTGCTTGAAACCGTGTTAACTGACACTAATAACAGTAGGAGCAATGCAGCGTGCAACAATGCTCCGAAGCACTGACCCAAATGTATACACCGGTTTAGAGAGGTGAACCATTTTGACCACTAACAACTAATACATTGTCATGCCATGATACTTACTTCCTAAAAATTAATCATAAGTTTGTAGGAGTTGAATGCCTTGACTCGTTAATTTCACTTAGTCATTAATTCCCAGGAAAAAAACCTACAAGGAGGAGTAAAGTGCTATTATGACCTGATATTCTTTTTAATGTGTGGATTTTTAATGGATGAGAAAAAAATTAAAATACAAAATACTAGTTAGCTATATTAGTGATATATTATCAATCCATAATGTTTCTCAGTTATTATTAATAACCAGACACATACTGTATTTAGTATATGGTTCAATGGGTATTGTGCTTTATTTAACATTGTTTTCTACACGAAGGCATTTGCAACTAGGACTTATTAAAACCACTTGATTTAGAGACAATAATCTTAAATACATATAAAATGCAGTTTTATTCTATAGGGTATAACCACAAAACCATGTAAATGTCACCATTTGTATTCACGAGGTGTAACCACAAAAACCTGCAGATGCATCAGTGTGATCTCACACACTGGACAGTTACCCACATGGTTTTCACTTCCTTTGTTGTGTGACTGCTTTTTAATGCAAGTGATTCTCTATGATTTTAACCTATCCTGGACCATAGACTTTCCCAATGAAATAACTACCATACTCAGGTATACTCTGCATGACTTTTGTGTGCCTGCTCACCTGATCGGACCCTGAAGTTTAATGGGACTTGAAATTTCAAGCTCTAGTAAAGAGCTCAGTGACTTCCACTGATTCGTCCTTGAAGCCATCAAACTATTGAAGAAGGTAATGCATCCACCCTAGAGGCTATTTCAGGTTCTTAAATGTACACTGTTTTCAGCATTTTCTCTTAAGAATATGATGCTTCCCTTCCTCAGCCCTATATAAACCATTTCTACCTAAATGCGCTCTAATATCTTTTCATATTGTAAGTTAACTCTTTAGATTTTGCTTGATCTTTAGTGCACATTTCCTAGCCCTTAAAAGGATAGTTAACTTGGCACTTCATTGATCTTGCTAATAAATGAATATCAACCAACAAACTATTCATTGTTTCCAATATATTTCATGTTCGCTGGTGCTATAACTCATGAATTCTTAGAGTAAAAATTGGTCTTTAATTATTTTTCAGTTCTCATCTTCAGCCAGTTTTGGTTTTTATTTTATTGTATTACAGTGATTATAGTCAAATGGCAATATATTTCATTAAAGTTTTCTGCTAAAGTATCCAAATGTTTAAAATACTTTCTTCTGTATGTGAAGCTATTTGCATCCAACTTTTACCTTTAATATGCATTGCCATGTGCTCTCAATAAATGGTTAAGATTAAATTTAGGTTGGTGGCTTCTTGGGGAATATGAGAACTGCGATCCTTTTAGTGGCATGTTTGTGAGAACATAATAGGTTATATAGCTTTAGCATTATATTATTAGTGAGGGTTGATCATTAGACACAATATTTATGGTAACATTTGCTAATTTAAGTAATTGTTACTGATGTTCTCATAATTTCATTTTCATTGTACTTCTGTGGAATCATAAACAAAAGGTTAAGTGGTACATCAGGTTAATTTACTGGCCTTTGATGTTTCCATCTGTGATCCTGCATTGAGCATAAAGCATAAATAAAATGGTTCTCATATGATTGAGGCCCAGAGGCTTTCCTCTATCCTAGAGTGAGCTGCATTCTTAGCTTAATTTTTGTGCCTCTCAAATTCACTTAATCCACAGAACATTACACTGACATGGATCTCTGAGTTTCTGTTTTATGAAAACAAATTGGGTCAGTTCAGAGGGGGAAATTGCTATTCTAAGAAGTGATCAGACAAGAGCATAATTGAAAATTAAGGGTAAACTATTTATTTAATATTAATTTTAAAAAGTATGATACAAGCTTTCTCAATTGCAATTGCCTGAGGAACAGACTTTGCAAAGTAGTTTTTTGTAAACTTCTTGAACAGTAATATTATAATAACTGTTTTCCAAAATGGTCCATGATAAACTTGAAAATATATTGTTTGCTACTATATTTTTCTAAATTACTTGTTGCACACACCTTTTTCAGAAGTAGCAGCTTAGTAATACCAATGCAAAACATTATACATGATTTAGTCAGCTGTTTTGCCTTATTTTTTCCCCTGATCCTCACAGACTGTGCATACTAGGGTGACACAAAGGAGCATTCTACACTCCAAACAAAATACACATAGAACATATACATATGGAATGGTTTATTTGGAATCATTGCAATCTACCTGGGCTCAGCAGTCTAGCTATCAGCATACAAACTAATTTGAATGTATTGTTCCCTGGTTTTCCATGCAATTACAACTTCTAGATGTTTAAAGATGCAAGCATTTTTACACATTGGCTGATAAAACTTGAATCTTACTCCATTTACCTATAAAAACAATCTCTTAAACCTGACTGTATATTCCAGACCTAATCTTTGCGTCACAAGAGAGCCCATTTGTAAATAAATGGGTGCCTCCTTGCTGCCTGCTGAGGGGCTGTTCAAAAACCATTTTGTAAGGGTGACACAATGGCTCTATTTTGGTACAATGACTCATGCCCTTTTTAGCCGTTTACCTATATCCCACTTCCCTATGAGTAATTTTTATTTATCTTAATATTATTTTCACACATAGTAACTATAATAAACAACCCTGTCAGTGCCTCCTGGTGGTCATCTTCCCTTGTTTTGTTTTATCCTTCCTGAGGGTCTGTCCCTTACACTATTTACTTAGAAATTCCTTTACAAGTGGGTGGTAGGAAGGGGAGGGATGGGATTTTTAGTCCTTTCTCTTATGCATTTTGGATATTTGTCTTTGACGTTTGAAATAATTTTGACACTGAACTAGGTCTTTGGAAGAAATTGTGCTTTAATGCTGCTTAACAGAAACCTGGGTTATAGCTGAAAAGGTCTGAATTCAAGGGGCGAATGACCTGAAGCCCAATAGCTTTTGTTAAATCAAAGTTGGCCGAGGCAAGATGGGAGCTATTTCCTGTGCGGCCCGAAAAGCAAGTTAAAATCCAAGAACTGAACCCAGACTGGAGGCTGGAGGTTGCAAGGCCTCCCCTGGAACGGCTGCCGATCAAGCCCGTGCAGAAGGTCCGATTACACTTTTAGGGAGTAACAAGTATTATTTCCCTCTTCTGACTAAGAGATCTGACACATTTTGGTTTTGCAGTGGCGGCCAATTTTTCAAGCAAACAGTGAAGTGGGCCCAGCACAAAACTGCCTATCGGTGGCCCCTGTGGCAGCAGAGCCAGCTCGGGGGAGCAAGTTCTCCGGCTGAGGCCCATCCGAGGCCATTTCCCAGTCAGGGCCAATGCCGCAGCCCGTGAGACGCAGCTGGGTTGGAAGACCCTCGCCCTGGTGCTGGATGCGCTGGGCCGCCGCCCTCCTTGCCACCTGCCTGGACGTCCCACTCCAGTCACCAGGAATCTGGGCTCCGTGTTTGGCCGTGTATTTTACAGACAAAATGCAGGAGTCTCGACTATTCCTTTTGTTAGCACTTACTACCTCTCCCCGTTCTCCTCGGGCTGGAAACTAAACCGGAGTTTGCGTCTGTATTTCACTACAAGTGAGCGCCTCGGTCTGGGACAAGGCAGAGTGGCCTTGCGACCGCCGGTGTCTGGGTCCTAGGCTGGTCCTGGACGTTGTCCCCCTTGGACTCGCTCTTTCGGGTCCTCTTTTCTCCCTTGGGCCCTTGTATGTCTCCCCGGGGTTGTCACCCTGGCACGCCCATTCCGGGGTCCCCCAGCCCTCCCGTTCCCCGCAAAGCCTCAGAGCGACCCTATGCTTCCCCGGGGTCCCACAGCGGGCGTCGCTTCCCGCTCCGGGGCTCCTGGGCGCACAAGAGGCCCCGGAAGAGCGCCCGGCTTCCCACTCCAAGCGGGTCGCGCTCACAACGAGCGCAGGTCCTGGGCTCTTTGGCATACGACCCCAGCCTCTCCGGGTGGCACAGCGTGGCCCCTGGCGTAGCTCGGAGCTGGGCCGCCGCGCCCTTCCTCCGCGGGCGCCCACCCCTCTGTCTGGGGTCTCCTCGCTCTCGCCCGCACCTTCCCGCGCTCCCTCCCCGCCCTCCCCGCACTCACCTGGTTGTTTTTGCAGAGATCAGCCCACATGCTGGTGCCGTCCCCTCCGCGCATCAGGACATGGTAGGTGAAGAAGTAGATGCCTGGAATAGAACAGGTGAACTTGCCGGTGGTGGGATCGTAGTGGTTACCGAGGTTGGTGACCACGTCGTCGAACTTGAGCACCTCGTAACCTTCGTGCTGCCGCTTGAGGCCCGCGTAGAAGGCGATCTTGGGGACAGTACTGTAAGTGGCAGCGCTGATGGCCCCGGCCGCGTTCAGGCCGGGCGCCCCGGGCGGGCCCGGCAGGCCTTGGCGGCCGGGCTCGCCCTTCTCGCCCGGGGGCCCCACAGGGCCCGGCGGCCCCGGCTCACCTGGGGGCCCACGCGGCCCCGCCTTTCCCGGCCTGCCGGCCTCGCCTTTGGGGCCCTGGATGAAGGTGGGCAGGGACTGCATGAGGCCGCGGTCGGGCGTGGCGGCTGTGCTGGGCGCCTTGGTGCCCCCGTAGGGGTCGCAGACCATGCGGCAGGTGCCCAGCATCTCGTAGTGCGCCGACGTGCCGGCCGAGCTCACCAGCACCGGGATGAGGATGACCAGCAGGAGTACCATCACCACCCCCAGCGCCCCGGCGGCGATTAGGCGCCTCCTGCTGCCCACCAGCCGGCTCAGCGCGGGGCGATCCTCTTGTCTGCTTTTGGACAAAATTTTGAAGGTTGGGCGGGGACCTCCTCAGAGCCGAAAACAACCCCCTGCGAACCCCAAGTCCCCGGGGCGGGCGCCGGCTGTTCCGCCTGCTTCTGCTCCGCTCCCCCCTGCGGCTGCGGCTGGGGAGGGAGCTCGGCAGCCAAGTGACTTGAGCCGAAGTCCCAGCTGGGGGTGGGGACTGGGGGCGGGGTGCGAGGGGCGCCCTCTCGCCTCCTGCGAGCCCCGGCGCACCTGTAGCTGCGGCCGGCGCCGCGCCGCCACCCGAGGTCAGAGCCAGCGGCCGCCTGTCGTGCTCCCCGGGCGCTCACACTTTTATGCCACCGCAGCCTGCGATCGACTTTTCCGTTTTTGCCGACTGCGCCAGTTCGCACCAACTTTCCGTCTGAAGTTGCCTTTTGCTGCCTCCTTCTCTCTTCTTTCGTTCGCTCGCTTCGCCCTTCCCCTGTCTTTCCCCCCCTCCTTTGCAACCACCACAATTCAAACGGGCGCGCGCAGAGCCTGCGCCGGCCGCCCCCCGGGTGCGGAGCAGCAGCGGCTGGGCCCGGCTGCGGGCTGGAGCGGAGGAGATGGCGAGCGGCGGGCGCCGCACGGCCGGAGCAGAGCGCGAGAGAGACTGCACGCAGGATCCGCCTGGGCACCACCTGCCAGGAGAAGAGGAGGCTGACAAACGCGCGCCGGAGCAATTTATAGGCACCCAAGGCACAGAGGAAGGGGAGCCGCTTTGGCATCTCATTGCAGCATCTGCTCTGCTCATCCCACTCAGAGAGAGTTTGGCATTACTCTGACAATGTGGGATTTTTCCCCCCCGCCGGCCTCTCTTTTTTTTTCCATCTCCGCACATGGATGATCAGTGAGATCCTGAATACTCCCTTGCTCAACCCAAGCTCTGGCAGCGCTCTCACTGGGCATACCTGGCGGGAGGGAGACAGATGTGCCGGAACTCAAGGGTCACACCGCAGCCTCCGATTTCCCCACTGCCAGCTGCCCCAGTTGAAGGGGGAGGTGAAGGTTGAAAGGAGGGTGGCTTGGTTGACAGTATTTCTCCACTGGTTCACCCACTATCAGGGCTTCAGGTGTTTTTCAAAATGCCACTTTTAACATAACGACGACCCTTTTGAATTTTCCAGATGGTAGGTGTAATTTTTTTTTAACCTTATGGTTTTTCTCACCAGCCTTTTAAAATGAAAATAAGATGTTACCCAGAGAACAGTAAGGTGTGTTGAAAAGCCAAAGGACATTTCTCAGTGATTTTAAATGGACATGCTAACTGGGAAAGGGGGCGGAGGGTCCTTTTTACAAATGCTGCAAATGGTAAGTGTATACATATGTACTCTACATACAGGCTTACAATTTTAGCTACCTTCCAGAAGATACTACTACTGGACCTGAAGTTGCATTTACTTATGCTATATCACTTGTCAAAATGCCTTCAAAAGTCTTCAGGTAAAGCAAGCAGCCTTTACAAAGTCCCAGCTAAGATCTTTTCCTAAGATATGGAAAGAGTCCTATAAGCTCCATAGTACACGGCCTGCATGTATGTTCAGAGATGGGGAAAACGGGAAAAATATGAGAAGGAAGAGCCCCGTTTGCAGTGGAACTTGGAGGAGAAACAACAGCCTGGATTTATAATATTAATAGAAAGCCCCAGAGTAGATATTAGGCAAGTTACACCACCAACAAATACATAAGACACACAAGAACAGCTTTAAAAAAACAAGTAGAATTGATTTGTAAATCATACTTTCGCATTCAGGAGCAATGGATGTCAGTCAAATGTGGGTGACATTTGCTTGTCAATATGGGGATGATGCCTGGGAAGACAATGACTTATTACATCAGGGTGAGAATCTGAAATGAGAGGCAGAAAACAAATAAGACTCCAGCAAGGCAACAGTAACATCCTAGGTGCCCCTCAGCAGCCTATGATCCTGTTGGGGGGCTCCACAGGACGGATATCTTGTTTTCTGTCCTTCTGCCTTCCCCCCACCCCACCCCACTAGTTTAGTTCTTTCTTTCCTTCTTCTCTGTTTCAAGACAAAATAAGGTCAAATGAGCAGGCCAAAGGAAACAGAGATTCATTCATTCTTTTACGAGAATTGTCAGCAGCTCCTCCAGGTCTTCCCTGGGAAAATCAACTCCAGGGTATTGGGCTGTGGGGCTCAGCCCGTCCATTGTCTCCACATTCTCTCTTCCTCTAGCTGCCCAGGAAACTGCTCCTGCTACTGGAAACGAGTCTTTCCCACTTCTCAACCTTAAATTTTTATTGTTGGTTAGTGGTCTTACTAATGTGCATCTATGTCTAGGGCATAATTGCATATCTATTTCAGAATATATTTTGTTCACATGAGCTACTTTATTTTCATATATTTAAGCAGCAAACACATAGTATGTTCTTTCCTGGCCACATCTATTTTCCTAACACACCTTCTGGGTTGCAAAACTCTCCTTTCCTTTGGAGGACAAAATGGCAAAGTGTGATGAAGTTAAGGTATTAATGAAATAAGCTCTTTTAGATGCACCAAATTATCAAAATTCATAAGACCCTTTTTATTGCTAAAGAGAGGCTAGTAGTGGATAAAAGGAGACCTTTTAAAAGGTAGAGATGCATAAATAATTTCTCACTGCACACCTCATGACACATGGAGTTTTGCATTGACAGATGCTTATTTTCAAGATGACTCCATCTAAGACAGCATGAACTAGCAGAGTCAGAATGGACCCTAGAAAGGTGGACTGGCCTGCTCACTTTGCAGATGATGAGTCTGAGACACACAGATATGAGTAGACACAGGGCCACCCAGTGTCCTTGCTGTTACACTTTGCTCTACACTGCCATATCCCAGCCTAAGACCTGTGGATTGGGCCTAGTAATTGAGGCTTTTCTCCTTCCAATTTCTCTAAGGCCAAAGCAGAGCTTGATTTTGCAAGTGAGGCCTCTAACATCTTCAAGTTCTGCTGACATTTGGAAAACTGCTCAGAAGTCACTGTTCATAATGAAGACCACATCTCCCAGGTCACATGGCTGACCTGTCTTTCTATTGTGCATACAAACCTGGGCAGCGTGTGTACATTAGGTTTTTTTTAGTGAAGTAAGTTTAAATTATTTGTCCCCTTCCTTGTCTCTAAAAATATCCCACTATGTACTCTGTAAGACACTTTTTTGTTCCCCCAAGATGTTCAGGGATGACTGGGTAGTAAATGAATTTATGGCTGGTTATTGTCACTTTCCACAGCTTGAATTTCTCAGAAGGTTCTCTGGAAAGTTACTCACGCTTCAGCCCTTATTCTGACAGTTTGAATAAGCCATCTGATATGGCACATTACTCATCTCTATATGTATATAATAATAGAAAATGTGTCAATTAAAAAAAATATTTGATTCTCTTCAGTCCTCACCAGAGAATCAAGTTTTCTCCCACATTTGATATTAATATTGGAAGAAGGCCCTGGAATCTAGTTTTTAAGGCACAATCATTTCTCAAGAAAATATACTCATTCCTTCTATTCCTGGGCCTTGGGGAACCTACAGATGATACACAAACCCCAGATCTGGGCTGGGTGACTATCCTGTGATTTTCACCTTGCCCACATCATTTCTGCCTCTTTCGGAGAACTGAGCAGATCCTAAGCACATGACTCCCACACAAACGTGCAAGGCCATCCATTAATCTTTATTGAGCACCCACTGGCAGCCTAGCCCCATGCTGGCTCTTACCAGGCAAACAAATATTTAGTCATGAGAATGATTCCCAAATCCAGCAGCATTAAACAGAAATAGCATTTCTTATAAGGGTGGAAAAATAAATTAACAAACCAAGGCTTATGTAGAGAACTAAAGATAAAAAATGTAAAAAAACAAAAAGGGATTGAACCAACAATTCATCTTTGATTTCTGGGTCTCCAATTTGTATTTCATAAGATACACGTCTTTGACTGGAGAACTGCAGATTTCCAGCCAGAGGGGGTCTGCTTGAGAGTATGGGTCTTGATCTGAATTCTAGTTTTCTCATTTAAAAGCTATGAAAGCTGCTTAATCTCGCTGAGGCTTAATTTTCTTTTCTATAAAATGGAAATAACACTAATGCCTAAATCATAGGATTGTTGTGAAATTTGAGTTAATGCATATAATTACAATGATACACAACTCATAACCAGAGACCAGTAAATGTCAACTTTCATCTCTGTATCCTGTAGGACTGCTAAGTAGTGTATGTGTTTGTGAATTGGGTGGTAGAGCACAGGCTTAGTAAAGGAAGTTAAGCTAATGGGCCAGACTTCACGCAAAAGGCATCAAATGGACAATAGGTATTACAGACTTAGACAAAACAGAAACAACACCAAAGTTCTCCTGAAGAGTTGCCTGTGTGCACTCTTCTGTGATGTAAAACGAAGTAAGGTAAACTCACAACAAGGACCACTTTACTCTGCTCCAAAGAAAATAAAGTTCTATAACCAGAGCATTTGAATTCACTGCAGTATCATAGACCAACCTAATGGGAAGCAGTAAAATGTGTTTTTGCCCTCTGGAAAGTTACCCAAGTCAGCAAGTTGCAAGTGTATTTAAAAATCATCAAGGTGGGTGTTCACGACCTGTTTCTGTGGATAATTCTCAAAAAAAACCCAAACACACCAGAGAGGGCTGCTCAGTATGGTTGGCCGGAAGAGCAGTCACGCTGAAGGATACCTAACTCATAACCATAACTCGCCACAGAAAGCAAGTTGGAAAGCTAGCTTAGCAGCTCAGTTGTCAGAAAATGATCAAATAGCTAGAAGGAGATGGTAATTAGCATGTTACATGAGACTCAGTTACAATGTATAGCTTCAAGTTGGATGCAGATTTTTACTACATCAATCAATAGAAGGATAAAACCTCTAGGATGGATATGATACTTTATCCTTGTTTTCCATGGGTAGACTGTTCAGTGCCTATGATCCTTCTTGGTGTTGAATTGAAGGGAAAGTTAACAAGGATGAAATGTGAGTGATCAGCAAGTCCTCCTTAGTTTTGGTCATGATAAATCAGTCATACAAGGAAGATTAGTTTTAAGAAATTAAAAGCAGCTGCCATTCGACTACAGGGAATTTTTAAACAAAAGATATAGGGGCACAGACAGATCTACTGAGGCGGCAGTGATAAGGATTGTGGTAGTCTTATTGTTGTGTTTCTTTTGTTTTGAAAATCAAATGCATCATGCATCCTAACAGAAGCGGTTACAAAGAGCCACCAACAGAGCTGGACCCTGGCCAAAGCATCTGATTGTCCAGAATCTGGCTCTAAGAGTAATCAAGCTGGAGGAGATGTGAATGCCAAGGGCAGGTGCAGTCAGTCCCACTCCTACATGAGTGTAACCCCAGAGCAGATCTTCAACTATGAACGGTATGTCCTGGGAATAAATACTGTGTCCCTTGGTTACCCATATGTAAATATACATTAGCTTTCCCCTAATGTAGGCAATCTCTTGAGAACAGTCTTAAACTATGTAAAAATAAACATGATTTGAAACCATAATCCTAAAAATCCTAAAACCATAATCCTAAAATATGGAAGTAGTTTAGATTTGTAATAAGCATGAGGGAAAAAAACCAAAACCAACAAATTGGAAGGAGTTGTATGTTCAGTATGAGTAGTTGAATATTTCAGTG